AAAAAAAAAAAAAAAAAAAAAAAAAAAAAAAATTGCATCCAAAAAAGCAATATTTAAGAATAAACCTGACTAAGGAGGTTAAAGACTTATGCTGAGAACTATAAAACATTAATAAAGGAAACTGAAGATGATTCAAAGAAATGGAAAGATATCCCATGTTCTTAGATTGGAAGAATTAATATTGCTAAAATGGCCATACTAGCCAAAGCAATCTACAGATTTAATGCAATCCTTATCAAATTACCCATGACGTTTTCCACAGAACTAGAACAGATAATCCTAAAATTTATATGGAACCATAAGACTCAGAATTGCCAAAGTAATCCTGAGGAAAAAGAACAAAGCAGGAGGCATAACCCTCCCAGACTTCAGACAATACTACAAAGCTGCAGTAATCAAAACAGCAAGGTACTGGCACAAAAACATACATATGGATCAATGGAACAGAATAGAGAGTCCAGAAATAAACCCACACACCTCCAGTCAATTAACCTTCGGCAAAGGAGGCAAGAATATACAATGGAGAACAGATAGTCTCTTCAGCAAGTGGTGTTGGGAAAGCTGGACAGCCTCATATATATCAATCAAGATAGAACACACCCATATACCATACACCATACAGCCCCCTGAGCTTAATAAAGGTTGGTAAGTGGAGCTGCCAGCCAGGCCTGGACACCAGGATGGGCCACCAGCTAGGATGGGCCACCAACCAGGATGCGGATCAGGACAGGTCCACTCAAAATGGCTTTAAGACTTAAATGTAAGACATGACACCATAAAACTCCATAGGCAAAACATTCTTTGACAGAAGTCGTACCAATCAGTCTCCCAAGGCAATAGAAATAAAAGCAAAAATAAACAAATGGGACCTAATCAAACTTATAAGCTTTTGCACTGCAAAGGAAACCATCAACAAAATGAAAAGACAGCCTATGGACTGGGAGAAGATATCTGAAAACGATGTGAACAACAGTGGCTTAATTTCCAACATATACAAACAGCTTATACAAATCAATGTCAAAAAAAACCCAATCAATAAATGGGCAGAAGACCTAAATTGACATTTCTCCAAAGAAGACATACAAATGGCCAACAGGCACATGAAAAGATGCTCAACATAGCTAATTATTAGAGCAATGCAAATCAAAACTACAATGAGGGGCTTCCCTGGTGGCGCAGCAGTTAAGAATCTGCCTGCCAATGCAGGGGACATGGGTTTGAGCCCCAGTCCAGGAAGATCCCACATGCCATGGAGCAACTAAGCCTGTGCACCAAAACTTGAGCCTGCACTCTAGAGCCCGCCAGCCTCAATTACTGAGCCCACGCGCTACAACTCCTGAAGCCCGGGTGCCTAGAGCCTGTGCTCTGCGACAAGAGAAGCCACCGCAATGAGAAGCACGCGCACCGCAATGAAGAGTAGCCCCCGCTCACCGCAACTAGAGAAAGCCCGCACATAGCAACGAAGACCCAACACAGCCAAAAATAAATTAAAAAAAAAAAAAAAAGACTACAATGAGGTAACATCTCACACCACTCAGAATGGCCCTAATCTGATTAAGAAGTCTACAAATAATAAATGCTGGAGAGGGTGTGGAAAAAAGGGAACCCTCCTACACTGTTGGTGGGAATGTGAGCTGGTGCAGCCACTACGGAAAACAGTATGGAGGTTCCTCAAAAAACTAAAAATAGAGTTGCCATATCAAATTGCCATATGATCCAGCAATCTGATTCCTGGGCATATATCCAGACAAAACTCTGATTCAAAAAGATACATGCACCCTAATGTTCAGAGCAGCACTATTTACAATAGCCAAAACATGGAAGCAACCTAAATGTCCACTGAAAGATAAATGGATAAAGAAGATTTGGGGTGTGTGTGTGTGTGTGTGTGTGTGTGTGTGTGTGTGTGTAATGGAATACTACTCAGCCATAAAAAAGAATGAAATAATGCCATTTGCAGCAACATGGATGGACCTAGAGATTACCATACTAAGTGAAACAAGTCAAAAAGAGAAAGACAAATACCATATGATATCATTTATGTGGAATCTAAAATATTACACAAACGTACTTATTTACAAAACAGAAACAGACTCACAGACAGAGAACAGATTTGTGGTTGCTAATGGGGAGGGGGATGGACTGGGAGTTTGGGATCAGCAGATGCAAACTAGCATATATAGGATGGAGAAACAAGGTCCTACTGTATATCACAGGCAGCTATATTCAATATCCTGTAATAAATCATAATGAATACGAAAAAGAATCTATCTATATATATACTAACAAGAGAGTGAAAAGACAAGCTACAGAATGAGAGAAAATATTTTCAAATCATAGATCTGATAAGGGGTTAATACCCAGCATGAAGAACTCATAATTCAATGACAAAAAGCTAACAATCTAATTCACAAATGGGCGATAACCGCCACAGGAATTTCTCCAGGGAGAAGAGCCAATGAGTACATAGGATGTAACTGAAACCACCACACGATGCCTCTGCACAACCATGAGGATGGCTATTACCAGGAAAATGGAAAATAACAAGTGTTGGTGAGGACGCGGAGAACTTGGCACTCATGTTTGGCTGGTGGGGATGAAGATGGTGCAGCTGCTGTGGACCACATCCTGGCAGCTCCTCAAAAGGTTAACATAGAGTCACCATCTGATGTGCAAATGTGCACGCAGAATTTTGTACATGATGTTCACAGTAGCATTATTCATAATAGGAAATGGGGGAAACAACCCCAGTGTCCACGGACAGAAGGTGGAACACTGCTCAGCCTAAAAAAGGAAGGACAGCGGCGATGACCTCACAACACTGTGAATGTACTTAATGCCACTTAACTGTACACTTCAAAATGGCTAAAATGGCATACTTTATGTTAAGTATATTTTACCACAATAAAAAAGTATATTTTCATGTATAGAGACAGTGCCAATCCTAAGACGCTGCATCGATTGATTGACTGGTGTTTTTAAAACTCAGTCTCACTGAAAACTGGTGATGGCTTCTGTGACAAAAGGAAGATCAAACAGGAAAAACATGTTCTTGATATTCTTCTCAAAGTAGAGAAGAGGAAAAAAAGAAGAAAACAATCAATAAATTCAACTAGAATCAAACTACTTAACCATGAACATTTTAATATCCATACGACATTCTTAAAACAAACTTTCAGACACAAAGTGATTTAAAACTTTATAAAAATATATATACAGCTTCAAACTATACAGTTCATTCAATTTAACAGAATGTCCATTTTTTAATTTAAGACACACACAATTTCAAAGAAATTTTCAATTTTATCCCAATTTCTCACTTAAAGTCTCAGATTACATCTACCTATTATGTACAAACAGATGAACTGAAATGTCCTCAAAGTTCCCAGGGTTTGGGTTACAAAGAAAACTTAGAGAATTTCATCTTCTCTGTGTATAGGAATTAAGTCTCAGCCCATTTCATATCTGTTTTTCCTATTTTCTTGTCAAATATTAGCTCTTCTTAAATAGATGTACTGATTTTATTCATTGTTTTTCTCAGGAAGGATATGTGTGATCCAGTAATTAAAGAAAGCTGAGATTACTCGGGCATAGTCTGGAAAGCAAAAAGAAAACAGAACAAAAAGTAAAATAAAACAAAAAATTCAAAGAAAAAGAAAAATTATAAATTATTATTTTGTAGATATTAGTCCTTAGGCCCAAAGTAAACTCTGAAATAATCTAATAAAACACAACTCGGGTGTTGAAATGATGTTGATTGTCAGCACACTTGCAAATCCCATAAAAGTATGGGTGAGTTTGGAATATTTGTATTTCACTTGGATACAAAAGTTCTGTTAGAGCTGAACTCCATAACACCACACGCAATATTACATGCTTAACATCTGAGCTCAAAGAAAACCACATACAAACTGAAATGAAACAGAAATAGGAGTTTACTTCAAAGGTGGACAAAGTAGCAGGAAGGTAGAAGCAGGATTCTAAGTGAGATGAGCTGGAAGGAACAGCACTCAGGTTTCAGGAAACTGTCCCAGGAACAGCCCAGCAAAGGGCCTGAGCTGAGGTCACAGCCCCTCATTTTGGGCCTCACTCCTCGTAAAGATGCACACTGAGGGGGACGCAGGTCCGGAAGCTCCAACCCTGAGAGCACACACACCCTGTCTGGCTCAGACCCTGGTGCCCGAGGGGCAGCCGACTGCTGCTGAGGCCCCGAGACGCACTTTCGAGCAGAGGCTGGGACTGCGGGGAGGGGTCCCATCTCATGCTCCATGCAGAAGTGTGGCTGAGGTGCCTCCAAACTCGTCCCCTGTCCTGCCCGGGCCAGCTGCCCGGCTCCCCAGCCTCGGGCTCCTGAGGATGGTGGTGGCTAATGTGTGCACAGAGGACTCAGGAGGGTCCAGGGCGGGGATGCCTGCAGCATCTTCATGGTGCGCGGAGCATGATAAAAACCCCACAGATGGTGACACGCATGTACATGCAGATGACGGAACGCAATATGTGAGACCAACTGTAGAAACACGTGCACTGGCCTTGGGACATGGCTGCTACACCCCAGTCAATGAAACACCCGTGAACTAGGAAAAACAATCGTTGAGGCACCAGAGAGAGAAAGCCCCCTGTGTCTGCTGTTAAATGCTACTATTTCCAGGCTTACTCTATAGACAGGAGAGATACAGCTACTAATTAAACTTCATAAGCTAGTTTTATGAAAAAGAAAACAATTTCAGAATGCTAAATCTGAATTAGACAGAACGAATATTTGAAAATAAAGCTTCACCATTTGTAAGATTTCATTTTACAAAGTAGCTCAACATAGAAAAACTTTGACTGCACATCCTACATGCACTAAAAAGGAATCCGTTTTCACAGAAAAGTGCTTCATGCATAAATTTCAGTTCCACCAACTACTTAAGGTGCTTGTCCAATGGTTTCAATGTAAGAAGCAAGAGAAGCGTTTCCACTCAATCCCCAATCCCTGTTCCAGAATCTCCTGATGCATCTCAGAGCCACGCGTGAAGAACGTCTTCACTGTGAGGAACTCCACTGAATTGTAAATGATTTATTTTCATCTCCCATAAAAACTTCATATTAGTTTAACTTAATAAAATTGGCTTTTTGCAATCTGAAAATGTAAATTATGGAAATGTAAATCTTTTTACATTTCTTACGGAAATGTAAATTATTATTATTATTTTTTGCGGTACGCGGGCCTCTCACTGTTGTGGCCTCTCCCGTTGCGGAGCACAGGCTCCGGACGCGCAGGCTCGGCGGCCATGGCTCATGGGCCCAGCCGCTCCGCGGCATGTGGGATCTTCCCGGACGGGGGCACGAACCCGTGTCCCCTGCATCGGCAGGCAGACTCTCAACCACTGCACCACCTGGGAAGCCCGGAAATGTACATTTTTAAATACTGCATACAGCAGGCCCAACAACCAGCAGTAAGGAAAGGAGCAAACACTGGATCACGGGGCTGGGGGTCCCGGGTGGCCCTGCGGCACCCCCGGCAGGAGCAGGGCTCTGCCAGCACTCGCTCCCCTGCCTGAGGGTCTCCCTTCCCGGAGCTGCTCCCACGGGCAGCCCACCGCCTCTCGCTCCTCCCATGCCTCCTCTGGTCCTATTCCTCGCGGCAACCCCCACGAAGGCGCCACCTTCACCCCATCTCTGGTCCTGCTCTGACAAAGCCTCTGCCCCCCCAGACCCCAGGCTGCTCTGTGAGGGTGACTGGCAGTGGCTCTCCCAGGCCTGAGTCCCCACACCTGGACGTCCGACAGCAACTTCCAGCCGACCCAGCTCAAAACCCCACCTGCTCCTGTGGCTGCCTCTCCCGCCTCATGATGCGCTGCAGGCTTCGTGCAGGGCTTCGGGTCACAGACGCCCACGTCCAGTCAATCGGCAAACCCTACTGGGTCCACCTTCACAGCCGACCAAAATCTGACCGCGCCCAGGAGTATGACCGAAGCCCCCGCTGTCCCCGACCCCTTCTCTAGTCCGAACGTGACGGCCGGAGAGATCTTGCTAAGTGCGGTCAGACCCAACAGGCTGGCCTTCCAGCGGCCCCACGTCGCCCAGAATAAAGGCCAACGAACTCAGCACAACCTCCAGGGCACAACGTGACCCGGTCCCCGGCTCCTCTCCCACCCGCTTCTGCCTCCTCGCTCCCCCCCCCACAAGACCCCCCCCCCCCCCCCCGTTTTCTCCCGC